CAGGCTATCTCTTGCTTACAGAGCTTATTCAATAGCTTTGTCTACTACTCTTGAGCCTAGATAATATGCAGAGGCTTCCCAGTACCCAGATTGGTGCAAGGATATAGATCTTGAATATCAAGCATTGGTTTCAAATAATACTTGGATAGCGTCCGAGCCACGATATTCGATAAACGAAACCCATTTAAGTAGTGGGCTGAACACGTCCCTTACCAAATTCTTTAGACATGCCATTTCCTTGTACTTTCAACCGAATCTAGACTAAGACTTGTACTTTCACCATTTCATACCTTATATTCTATATCAATTCTACCTTTAGTTGTCACACAATCAATATTTTCGTTTTTCTTAGGTTGGGAGGTCCAATCTTTGATGTCCTTACCTTGAAAAGTAGCAAAGTATTGGAAAAATCAACAGAACGACTGCACATAAACGGCCTATAGGGTTTTCAAAGTAAAATTAAACTCTGATGGCACTAAAGAGAGGAAGAAAGCCAGGCTTGTTGCAAAGGGATTCACCCAACAAGCTGGCCAGACTATGGAGAGACCTTCTCCCTTGTTGCTAAGCTGGTAACAGTAAAGTGCTTAATGGCAATTGCTGCTCATAAAGGTTGGCATCTTCACCAATTGGATATCAACAATGCATTCATCCATGGTAAACTTGAAGAGAAGGTATACATGATGATGCCTAAGGGTTATGAGCAACAGAGGGAGTCTGGGGAAAACCTAGTATGCAAATTGAACAAGTCCATTTATGGACTCAAGCAGGCTTCTAGACAATGGAATACTAAGATGATTGCATACATTGTTTCACAAGGCTTTACACAGTCAAAATGTGATTATTCCCTGCTTAGCAGACAAGAAAATGAGACCTTCACTGTATTGCTCATTTATGTAGATGATATTATCATAGGGGCAATGATATATCATACATTGGAAAATTTAAGAATGAGCTGAATGAGCAGTTCAAACTAAAATATTTAGGGGTTTTGAAATACTTTCTTGGGCTTGAAATAGCCAGAACATCAGGTGGAATTTGTGTGAATCAAAGGAAATACGGCTTTGATGTGATAACTGATGCTGGATACCTTGGAGCCAAGTTTGCAAAATATCCATTGCCTCAGAATTCCAAGCCGAGTAAGGATCAAGGAAAATTGATTGAAGATGCAGGTGCAAACAGAAAATTGATAGGAAGGATTTTATATCTAACAATCACCATGCCTAACTTATCCTATGCAGTAAAGGTGCTTAGTCAATATCTCCAATCACCAAGTAGCCACATCTTGAAGCTGCACATCACGTACTGAGATACTTTAAAGGCACACCAGCACAAGGCTTGCTATTTGAAAGCAAGTCAGATATCGTACTTAAGGTTTTTGTGATGCTGATTGGGCATCCTATTTAGATACCAGAAGGTCCGTCACTGGTTATTGCGTCTTTATAGGGAATTCATTGGTTTCTTGGAGGTTGAAGAAGCAACATATTGTCTCCAGATCATCAGTAGAAGCAGAGTACAGATCCATGGCTGCTGCAGTGTGCAAATTAAGTTGGTTAAGAAACATACTTGCAGACTTAAGTGTTAAGCATGATTGAGCAGCTTTGTTGTTTTGTGACAGTCAGTCAGCCATTCATATTGCAAGCAATCCGATTTTTCACTAGAGGACAAAACATATAAAGATTGACTGCCATCTTGTGAGAGACAAAGTTCAAGTTGGTGAAGTTAAAATGCTATATGTTGCCTCACAAGACCCGCTAGCTGATGTATTAACTAAGGCATTAGGAGGAGTTAGATTCAAGCAGTTGATATCCAAGATGGGAGTTTTGAATCTACATCTCCCATCTTGATGGGGGAGTGTTGAGGAATTTGTAAATTGTAGGAGGGTATTTTAGTCCTTTCCATTTATCTCTTTTCCTATATATTGTACCGTTCATATAGTTGGAATTAATTTTTGGCAATTAACCAATTCTCCCGCCAAGAATTCTTCTTCTCCAATTCTCTCCCTCTTCATATTTTCATACTACTACATAATTCATTATATCAAATATATCACACAATCTATAGTTTCATATGGAAAAAGATAATATCATGATTTGAAATGTCAACAAATGAAGTGAATTTATACAAATTTAAATTATGATATGCCACTCACGACTATAATATTAATGGTGATATAGGAATACATAAGATATATGCCAACAATTACTATTTAATAATCTATTTAGTAACCTAATAATTATAGCACGTACAAAACCATGGGTTTTGCTTAATTAACCAAAATTAATAATTAATTACTTGAGGTCAAGACTTTTACAAGCGTGAGGCATTGCATGATTATTTGACTAATTATCACTTAATCTTGAATTCCTTGCCAACTAATGTTTATGAGTTATTTAAATTAAATAATTGTCCATGGTACTTGATGTCATAAATATATGTTTCCTGTTATTGCTACAAAAAAGTGAAAAAGACGAAACCAAGTCTAAGGATATGGTTGACTTCAATTTGCTTTATTTTGTTCTTGAAATTTTCAAAACGATCCTTGATTTAAAAATTGCTAAAGTTACGTTTGGTGGGAATTAAAATTAAAATTTCAGTAAAATTTGATAAAAGTTGATGAAATGTGTGATTGAAAAGTTGTGGATTCCATAAAATGTATGATTAAAATTAGTATTGACTTTGACTTAGATTAAAATCTGGATTTTAATTTCTATCAAATAGGGGATAAATAAGAAAAAAAATGTTTTATTTTTTAAAAATCATCTCTATTGCAATATGATGGGGGCTGTCGAAACTAATTAGTATATAAAAAAATTTCTTTTTGAATAAAAAACTATGTTATATAGAGTGATTCAGCCGGATATATATTTTTTATGATTTTCTTAGAAGAAAAAAGACAGCATTATGGGCAGGGGCGGATCCAGGAAGAAAGTTGAGCGGGAGGCGGGAGCGAAACCAAAAAAGTTTGGAAAAAAAATCTGAAAACCTAAAAAAACCTAGACAAAAAAAAAAACTAAAAAAATCTGAAAAATCGAAGAAAAATCGAGAAATCTAAAAATTGAGTGGGGGCGACGGCACCCACTGGGCCTCATGTAGGTCCGCCCCTGATTATGGTGGCGCCTAGATAAAATTGATTTGAAATTAATCTAGAACATGACTGTCTATTCATTATATATCAATGTCGTGTAGACAATAAGTTTTTCAACTAACGTGTTAGATAAGAATCTATAAAATGCACGGAAGATGCTCTTTGATTTTGAGTGTTTAAAATAAGGTTGCGAACGTGAAAAATATTGGCAGATTCGATCCAGGAAAATGTTATTTTTAAACATGTGGTTTCGATGAAAACGGTACCAAATACATGCATCTGCACTCATATTTGTGCACAGAGCCAATGAACAGGAAAGTAAAATAAGTACTTTTAGCATAGGATCTTGGTAAAGAACACAGTTTTAAAGAGCCTTTTGAATGGACAACCTTATCATTTGCCATGTGTTAGCATAATTGATGAAAGAATGGTTGGCATGTTTCTAAACAAAGTTTCACTTTATCTGTTAATTAAACATAGTCAACAAAACCTCAATTGCCATGAACCTTGTAAAAACATAATGGACTGAAATCTTGAGATTCTTTTTCATAATTTCACTAATTATTATTTTTATTTTTAAAAAATGGACATTTAATCATGGTACTTGTTGACCTCGATTTCTTATTGACGACGTCAACAGATCTTGACTCCACTCATTTTCCCCCGTAAAGCTTCTGCACAACCATAACTTTGTATACGGTCATTGGGTTGTAAAGAGAAAATAATAAAAGATTAATATTATTATTGAAGGTGTAAAGTTGAATTACCTTCAATGACACTAAGCGTGAATTTTAATAATAAGAGAGGTGGAGTAGTTATCATTGAATAAAAGACATGTTGCCTCATCTTAACGATCGATGCTTCTTCTCGTAGGTGTCACTTCTACAGTCCTAGGTTTAGAGAGCATTAATGATTCTGAAAAGTAATCACCCTACAATTTAATTCTAAAATCTGAAATGTAGACTAACAAGTTGACTAAAAATCTGAGAGATGTTTGTTGCAGAGGGGTAACATCAATCAATTGCAGAAGATCTTGTGCGGAATACATCCTGAAAGAGAAATTTTGTATATAAAATCTCTTGGAAGAGGTAAAAGGAAAAGATGCCTCTGTAGATTCGAACGCTTGTTGCCTCAGTAATAGGCTACAACAGATCGTGACACCTCGTCTCGGCAGAACTCTACATGGCGCCTTGGTTAAAGTGATAACACTACCACTATTGGATAGCTTAATTTAGGCTGGGTAGGCTGACGGTTGGATGAGGCGCAACGGTACTTGACTATGACATTAAATTCACTAGTATTGATATTCCTAAAATTATTGTTAAAATTCGAAGTTTGCGATCTTTTGGTCGATTTCCTTGGACATTTTCTTCCAAACACACTAGTGTGGAGCAAATGAATCGAATCCTAAAAAAAAAAAGTCTGTCTTAACGTGAATGCTACGATCTAGTTGTCTCTATTTCTTTATATGTCTCTCTATAAACCAAGTCATAAAATATTAGGTTATGCGACAAGGAGAGCTGTTGACAATTCATACAAAAATACAAAGCCAGCCACCATGAAAATTTCAGTAGAAAGATTCTAAGCCAACTGGCATATGACTGTTACACTTGTGTAATTTGATCTATATATAATACAATACAAATTAACCTCTATACAACAATTTTGAAAAGATGGGTAGATTCAATCTTGTAATAGCTGTATTATCACTTACTGTAAGTGTTTGTTTCTTCCCTGATTTGGCTTCTGCTCAACTCAGACAGAATTATTATGCAAATATCTGTCCTAATGTCGAATCCATCGTTAGAAATGTTGTTAACCAAAAATTTCGGCAAACTTTCGTTACTGTACCAGCCACACTCCGCATGTTCTTCCATGATTGCTTTGTCCAGGTGGTCATCATTTTTTTCTCCTTAATGATCACAAACAGATAATTAGATGGCTAATCTGTTGTGTTTTTTTTTATTGGAAAATAGGGCTGTGATGCTTCAGTATTAGTAGCATCAAGTGGAGGAAATACAGCAGAGAAGGATAATCCAGATAATCTCTCACTGGCTGGAGATGGATTTGATACAGTAATCAAAGCTAAAGCAGCAGTTGATGCAATTCCCAGATGCAGGAATAAGGTTTCTTGTGCTGATATTCTTGCAATGGCTACACGGGACGTCGTTTCCTTGGTCCGTAAAATCTTTTTTCAGTTTTTGGTATACAATATCGAATAGGACTAGACAATTTACTAGTTTAATTATCTACTCATGCTTAATTAATGTTGAGTCTGTGGTGGTAAAAATGAAATTGCAGGCAGGTGGACCTTCATATGCTGTGGAGTTGGGGAGACTTGATGGGCTTAGCTCAACAGCTGCAAGTGTAAATGGAAATCTGCCCAAGCCGAGCTTCAACTTAAATCAGCTTAATGCCATGTTTGCTTCTAAAGGCCTATCTCAGACAGACATGATTGCTCTTTCAGGTTAATATTAATTTTAGTTAATCTGACTTTTGCATAGGAAAGAATGTCCCCAATTTCTACAAGTTCTGCCTTAGAACAGATAATCATGGCAAGTAGTACTCGATCGTTCAAGACTCGACAGTATTATGAACAAAATTTCACACTTTCTTTCCTTATTTAGCCCCTGTTTGACAGAGATTAAAATCAGGTTTTTAGTAATTTTTGATAAAAGTGGATGAAATATGTGGTTGAAAAATTGTGTGGATTTCATCAAATGTGTGATTAAAATTAATTATTGACTTTTGACTTGGGATTTAAATTGGATTTTAATCCAAGCCAAATAGGGGCTTAGTACCTTGAGTCGTGTCAGATATTCCAATTCATACTCATCCTTTTAAATTTGTCAACAATGATGCATTTGATTATGGAAGCTTAGGAGACTTTTTCTAAAATAAAGTCTACAACAACTTATATTAGAAACCCACTTTAAAATATAATTCCCAGATTATGAACCGAGTCAAAATTGTTACACCTTACATTGGTATATTTCTATGCAGCTGCTCACACGTTAGGATTTTCTCACTGCGATAAGCTCGCAAACCGTATATACAACTTCAGCCGTCAGAATCCGGTGGACCCAACCCTGAACCGGCAATATGCGACTCAATTACAGGGAATGTGCCCAAGAAATGTGGACCCCAGGATAGCCATCAACATGGACCCAAACACACCCAGAACCTTTGACAATGTCTATTTCCAAAATCTCCAGCAGGGCAAAGGCTTATTCACATCAGACCAAGTCCTCTGGACAGACATAAGGTCCAGGCCCACAGTCGATGCATGGGCTAGAAACCCACAGGCCTTTCAGAGGGCCTTTATCCAAGCCATGACCAAATTGGGCCGGGTCGGAGTCAAAACGGGCAGGAACGGGAATATCCGTTTTGACTGTGGAAGATTTAATTGAGAATATATTTTTGACATTTTAATGGGTACATAAATTGTTAACAAATCTTGTATTTGTTCTGTATGGAGTCTGTCTTTGACAACAGACGTTTTTTTTTTATTTGTGTTAATGCAAGTCTATTGTTTCAAGAATATGTGAAATAAGAAACGCGAAAGTGTATGCGGTTCACAAAATTCTGTTTTTCCTTCGCTTTGTGCAATGAAATTCGGATTGTTATACTTTTTTCTTTTTCTTCTTTAGTTTCGTGGAATCACTTGAAAATAAATTTTTTTTCCCACTTGGATTATGTTAGGATTAACTTAAAAGAAGTTAAACAATGATATATATATATATTGGCTTATTTACAGTAGAGATTAAGACAGATTCTTTAACAAAGGAAGCAAAGCCAAACACGTTCTTAACATAAGTTCATTCACATGGGGGAATAAAATCCAAATCCACTTTTTTTAAATAGATTATTAAAAATGAATGATTAGTGCTAATCCTATTTATTTAGGGATGACTCATTGTTTTAGTATTAAATTCTTTAGGTTTTATTCCTTGGAATTACTTTTTGAACAGAACAATTCATAGGAGTTGAAATCCTTGATGATGTCAGTAGAATAATTTTTTAGTTAATTGCCAGTAGAGAAAGCTGATTACGTGACTTAATTTGCAACTATATGTAAGAAAA